TGCGAGGGGGTCTGCAGCAGGGCGGCCAGGATCCTGCAGAGGCCCTCCTCGTCCTCAGCCTCCCAGTGTCCTAAGCGGTCGCCGTGGATGCCACCTAACCATTTGCGCGACAAACTCAGACGACTGGGGAGGGGGGGGGCATGGGTAAAATAGGGTTCCAAACCGTTGCAGGCGGCTTACCCCTCGGCCATGGCCACCTCCTTCTCGGCGACGCCGGCCCAAAGCTTATAGGCCTTGTCCAACGAAACCTGGGCATCACAAACATTACCCCTCCTGAGGGGCACCAACCAACCATCCAGCACGCCAGTGAGGGCGTGGGCGTGGGGAACGGGGTCCACGCAACAACTTTGCGGGAGTGGCACGGTGGGCAACGGCGAAGGATGCCGAAAGGCCAGAGACTTCAGCCTGCCAAGCTGGGTGTGCAACGTGACCTGGACAGGGCAGTGCGGCGACAGGCATGACATTCTGTTGGGAACCACAGAAGCAATGGCGCCCTCGAGGGCGCGAAGTTATTCGCGCTTCGCGCTTCGCGGCTCGGCTCCGATCCCTCATCCTCCTCTTCTTCCCTGGGAGGCGGCGCGAGAGCGCGAAGTCATTCGCACTTCGCGCTTCGCGCAGCGCGAAGCGCGAAGTTGGGAGCCCTTGAGAAGCAACGCCCTCGGCCGCACCGGCACCGGTGAAGAAAAACAATCAAGCCGCTTAACCCTGCGGTGGGTCGGCGTGCGTGCTCGCCCGACGCCAAAAGTCAAGAGGGAAAAAAGCACACAGACACAATGAATCGTTGATTCCCCGGACAATATGGGAAACATGGGAAGTGGGGGGGAAGACAGAAACCCAGAAAATACGGGAAACTATGGGGAACATGTTTATTTGTGTGTATTCATTTGTGTGTCCCAGGGCCCCTTCAAAGAGGGTGAGCCTACCAACATCCTGCACGCCCGATCCTAGCACGACGATGGGCTCCATGCTGAAATCCCCACCCACGAGCCCCCCCCCCAAGGAGCGAGCGGCAGAGAGCAGGGAGAGGTTTCGTTCCGATGAGTCCTCGCAGTCGTGGAGTTGGCAGGACGCCAAGGGAACAGGATATGATCCGGGAAGCTGGACAGCTCCAGCGGCCGCACGTGCCCGAACCACCTTATGACCGGAAGCAGGTGATCGCAGCCCAAGTCCGCTTCTCACTAGGATGGCCACCCCTACCGAGGGTCCTCCTCCAGGTCCAGCAATAGCTGGCGACCACAACGACGTCCAGCCGTGTCTCGTGGCCCAGTTCGATGCGGAAGCAATCTGGTTCTCACCTTGCTTGTGTTCTTGCAACGGCACGACGTGAGCAGCCGTCTTCTCCAACCAGGCTTGCCCTGACCCCCGCCCTGACACGTTGCAGGTCTCGATGATCGGGCAAAACTGGTCCCTGGGAAACAAGCAAAGTCAATGGGCGCTTCTAGCGCCACTCCTCGCTTAGACGCATCCGAAGCCAGGGAGTCAGCTGTGTCCTCTGGCATCGGCGGGGTCTCAAGAGCGCTCTAGAGGGGCTCGGAGACACCGCGGGATACAAGGCCGCGTCGGCCCTGGGCAGGGTGTGTCGATCCGCGCGAAAAAAACACTTGGAGCACAAATCTGGAGCCCAAACAGTCGGGATCCAGGCGGAGATGGCTGGGATCACCGGGCCTCGGCGTAGCCACGATGACCCCATACTCAAAAATCAGTGCGCATGTCCATCCTCGGCACAGACAAGCAACTGTCCCACGCGGCTGGCCCGAGAGGTACCCCAGGGTCCACGTTTGGAGACGCCCAGCACAGGACTCAGGGCCCCCTGGAGCGCCAGGGGAAAAAAGGGCCCTAGGGGCTCGGGCCTCAAGAACAAAAGAGTCAGCTCTGGGATCCATACAGTCAAAGATCCGACATGGCCTCGTCGTCCTGAGCCTCAGGACGACGAGGCCATGTCCAATCCTTCACCCCTCCCTCTTCCCACGCCTCGCCTGGCCCACGTGCCGCGGCCATTGGCGACAGCGCTGCAACAATTGCGGAGGCAAGTGTTTGTCAAGTGGTTGATTCGTTCCCGAGGGAGTTGAAACACCACGCTCTGTGAGGACGATCCCCAGCAGGGGCCGTGTCGGCGACGGGCGATGGCCTCAGCTCGCTCTCGCAGGTCGCTCCGCTCGGAAGACGACTGGGCCTCGGCGGCCGCCGCGCCGGGCTCTGCATCGCCAGCGCCTCCCTCCACCGCGGAGGGGCCCGCGGCGCGCGGCGTACTGCTCGCCCCCGTAGGCGTCGAAGCGGCAGCCGCCGGCCCGCCGGCGAGACCCTGTCCGAGATCCCATTGGCGACGCTCGGCCGCCAGTCTGGCCATCTCGTCCTGCTGCTGCTGCTCCAGCTGCTTGAGCTTATCCGTGGCATCGCCGAACATCTGCTTGACAGCTTGCTGTAGCTCGCCTTGCAAACGACTGCGACGCTCCTCGAACTCCTTCTTGTCTGAATCCGAAAGGTCATGCACCGACGTGTCAATGTATGCGAAAGAGATGTTGACCTCCTCCCCCGCTAGCATGGATTCAATGGACATGCCAGGAATCGCCGTAGATGGAGGCTTGGGCGCCACCTGTGAGTGAAGCTGCCCCACCAACAACTTATGAGCCTTCTCAGCCTCCCGCAACTCAGTAGACAGGGACTTGACACGGGTGCGATGATCCTCGGGCTGGGCGGCCGTAGACTTGTACGCGCCAGCGGCCTTCGACAACCTGGCTTCGAGCGTACGCATGTCGTGGAACGCCCTGGTGGCCTGCTGCTGAAGGGGGGGCGCTTGACATTGACTCGCAATCTCCGCCTCCCTCTTAGACGCAAGCTCCTCATACTTGGCAGCCCCCTCGGAGTCGCCCGCGGCAGCGAGCTGCGCGCGCAAATCCTTGAGAGCCTCGACCTCACTCGCGAGGGTGACGGGGGCATGCTGACCACCTGGCTGGAGCCCGCCGCCGTGCTGAGGTCCGCCGCCGCCACCAGCCACGAACGGAGGGCCAGGACGAGCCGGGACCATGCTCAGGAGGGGAAGAAACACAGAGGCACAATTAATCGCCGATTCCCCAGAAAATATGGGAAACTATGGGAAGGGGGGTGGGAAGACCAACGCGCAAAAAGTATGGAAAACATGTTTTTTTATTTGTGTGTATTTATTTGTGTGTCCTTGGGCCCCTTCACATGCGCGGGGGCCGACCGCTGGCCAGGCGCCACATGAGCTGGCCCAGACCCCGCTCGGAAGTCGCGGCGGCCCGTGCCCCGAGACGACTCGGTGGGCCCAGCAGACTTTTTGCATCGCTGCCAGGCCGCCTTGCTTCAGGAGGGGAAAAAACACACATACACAATCCATTCCCAAGAAACAATTGTAAATATTGGAAGTGGGGGGAAAACAAACACCCAGAAAATATTGGATGATATGGGGAACATGTTTATTTGTGTGTATTTATTTGTGTGTCCCAGGGCTCCTTCCTTGCTCTTCTCACAGCCACAGGAAGTACACAACCGACTGCCCCCTTGAGCACGAGGCTGCTGACCCCCCTGGGCACGAGGATGAAGATACCACCGCGGAGCCTGGCCCCAGTCGCGAGTATTGGGGGCTGCGGGCGCCATGGTAGCGGGACCGAAACGAGAAATCTTCTCCCTGTGTTGACTTCAGGGAGGCCCTCAAGTGAGCACAGACGCGCGTCTGGTACAGCCCAGGGAACAATCTGGCGACCTGGGCCAGAAAGGCACTTGAGGGAGGAGGACGAGGAGAAGGAGGAGGAGGATGAGGAGGATGAGGAGCGCCAGGATGATGTGGATGAGGAGGAAGAGGGGAAGTCGTTCACATCAGCATTTCGAGCGAATGTGCGCCGAAGGGAAATTTCCAGGGAAGCGAAGCGTCGATGAGGAGGATGGGTAGTTTTCAGGGAATGAGCGCCGAAGGGCTGTCAATCTTTTCTCATGCTTGCCGAGCCAGATGAAACGCATGCAATTCTTTAACCGGCCCACGCGTTCCGAATTCGAGGTAGATGAGGAGGAGGAGGAGGAGGAGGAGGAGGAGCATCAACAGCAGGAGGGAGGATGAGCACGATAAGGGTAAGGACGTGGATAGGGAGGAGGGGGCGAGGGGGTAAAAGAAGGAGCAGAGGAGGAGGGAGGAGGAGGAGGAGGAGGGGGATGAGGATGAGGAGGAGAAGGAGGAGGGCCAGGAGGAGAAGGAGAAGGAGGGCATGAGGTGCGGGGTGGTGACCGCGTGCTCGTCGACTACTAAAAGGGACGGTAGTGATGGAGAGCCCCGCGGAGGCGGAGTCGTGGTGCCCACCCAGAGAAACGAGTAGGCAACTCTCCCTTTCATTGAGTATTCGGGGGGGGGGGGGCGGCCTCGACGCCGCCACTCTGGACTCTCGAGGGGCCCTCTTGCGGCCTCTTTGGGCCACCTTGGCCTCCCTTGGGGGATTTTTGGAGGCTTTCGGAGCTGTCTGGGGTACTCTCGGGGCCGTCTTGGAACAGCATCGAGGCCGTCCTGAAGGCCTGGTGGGAGCTGGGGCACTATTCGGGCAATCTTGGTTGGGGGCACCTCGGATCGTCTTGGTGTCTCTTCGAGGCCTGTTGGACTCTCTCCAAGTCCTCTGGAGCCCATCTTGCGGCCTTCTTGATCCTGACAAACACCTGAGCGATGTGGATGCCTTGTGGCTCTCGGGGCCCTCAGCCGAATCATCTTGGAGCCTCTGGTTCTGGTGGCGTCTTGTCGCAATTTCCGGGCCTGTTGGGGCCACTCCAGAGCCAAGTTTATCAGTTCTGGGCCCTCTTGGGGGCCATCTTGGGTCTTGCTCTGTCTTGAAGTCCCTGGGGGGCGCTGTGGGCTGTTCTGGCAGCTCTCACGGCCTGCAGGGTGCGCTGGTGAGCTCCCTGCTCGCCCCGTGTGACGGGGGACTTTGGTTTCCTTGGAAGGGGGGGGGGCATGGGAGCGGCTTGTCACCCCCTTGCCAAGCGAGGGTCGGCGGATCAAGAAGGAGACCTTCCCCGAGTACTACCGATACTGCTGCGACACGGGGAAGCCGGACACCATCGTCAACATGACCAACGGCGTGACTCCCAGGCGCTGGGTCCACTGTGCAAACCCAGCCCTCAGCGAGATCTTCACGAAGCACCTGGGTTCACAGAAGTGGCTCACCGACATGACCCTTCTTAAGGATATCATCAAGAAGAAAGACGACCCCGCGCTGCACAAGGAGTGGATGGCGATGAAGAAGGGTTGCAAGGAGAAGCTTGCCGTTTTCCTCAAGAAGCGGATAGGCCTGGACATGGACACCGACATGTTGATCGACATCCAGATCAAGCGCATCCACGAGTACAAGCGCCAGCTCATGAACATCCTCTTCGTCATTCACCGGTACCAGGCTCTCAAGAAGATGTCTCCCGCTGAGCGCAGCGGCGTGCAGAAGCGCATGGTTCTCATCGGGGGCAAGGCGGCCTCGGCGTACCGCAACGCCAAGATCATCATCAAGCTGATCAACAATGTGTCGAAGGTGATCAACAACGATCCTGACACGTCGCCGTTCTTGAAGTGCGCCTTCGTCCCGAACTACTGCGTGACCGCGGCGGAGGTCATGGTCCCCGCCTCGGACATCTCGGAGCACATCTCCACGGCCGGCACTGAGGCCAGCGGCACCTCGAACATGAAGTTCGTCATGAACGGCGGCCTCATCGTCGGCACCATGGACGGCGCCAACATCGAGATCCGCGAGGAGGGCGGCGAGGACACCATGTTCATCTTCGGCGCACTGGAGCACGAGGTCCCCGCCATCAGCGCCCGCGCCAAGGCTCAGCCACGCGCAGAGGGGGGTGGGGGGAGGGGGGAGGGCGTCTTAGAAGCACCCCTGCTTCTGAGAAGGCGCGGGCCTGATCTACAGATGCAAGGCTGGTCCTTCTAAGAAGCCCTCCCCCCTCCCTCCACCCCCTTATGCGCACCGCCAAAAGGCGGGCGACTACCCCATCGACCCCCGCCTGCACGCGGTGTTCGACGCCATCAGGGGCGACCAGTTTTCGCAGGGCGAGCCAGACGCGCGCGGCGAGTTCTGCGAGATCGTGGACAAGCTTTGCAACGTCCACGCTGCGGGCACCTGGGAGGGCGACAGGTACCTGGTGATTCACGACTTCCCCTCGTTCGTGGACGCGCAGGCGCGCGTCGATGCTATCGAAGACGCCTGCGGCGGATCGCCGCCGCCTCCCCGCCTTTTGGAAACGCAGATGCGGCTAAACGTTGGGCCGAAACCTGGCCAAGCTATTGAACAAAATGTCTTGCCCCAGCCGTTGTGGAGCCTCTCGGACAAATGGGGAGAGGAAGAGAACGAAGGAGGAGGATGAGGAGGAGGAGGGGGAGCAGGGATGATGATGATTGTGATGATGACGACGATGATGATGACGATGATGATGATGATGATGATGATGAGGATGATGGCGATGATGCTGATGATGATGATGATGATGATGATGTCGATGATGCTGATGGTGATGATGATGCTGATGATGATGCTGATGACGATGATGATGATGAGGATGATGATAATGATGGTGATGATGATGGTTGTGGTGGTAAGGATTCTGATCGTGATGATGATGATGATGATACTGATGATGATGATGCTGATGATGATGATGGTGGTGATGATGATGATGATGATGATGCTGATGATGATGATCATGCTGATGCTGATGATGATGCTGATGATGATGATAATGATGATGCTGATGATGATGCTGCTGCCGCTGATGATGATGATGATGATGATGATGATGCTGCTGCTGATGATGATGCTGCTGATGATGATGATGATGATGATGATGATGATGATGATGCTGATGATGATGATGATGATGATGATGATGATGATGCTGATGCTGATGATGATGATGCTGATGATGATGATGATGATGATGATGATGATGATGATGATGATGATGATGATGATGATGATGATGATGATGATGATGATGATGATGATGATGATGATGATGATGATGATGATGATGATGATGATGATGATGATGATGATGATGATGATGATGATGATGATGATGATGATGATGATGATGATGATGATGATGAGATGATGAGGATGATGATGATGAGGAGGAGGAGGAGGAGGAGGAGGAGGAGGAGGAGGAGGAGGAGCATGGGTATAAGGCGGATGAGGAGAAGGAGGAAGAGAAGGCGGAGGGGGAGGCGGAGGAGGAGGAGGAGGAGGAGGAGGGGAGGAGGAGGAGGAGGAGGAGGATGAGGATGAGGAGGAGGAGGAGGAGGAGGAGGAGGAGGAGGAGGATGGAGGAGGAGGAGGAGGAGGAGAGGAGGAGGCGGAAGAGGAGGAGATGGAGGAGGAGGAGGAGGAGGAGGAGGAGGAGGAGGAGGAGAGGAGGAGGAGGAGGAGAGGAGGAGCAGGAGGAGGAGGAGGAGGAGGAGGAGGAGGAGGAGGAGGAGGAGGAGGAGGAGGGAGGAGGAGGAGGAGGAGGAGG